CCCCCTAGCAGGTAGTACCTTAGGGCTTCAACCGCCCATTTGATCGCCAGGGCCTCTCTTTCTATTACGGAGTACTGGCGTTCTCGGGGAAACAGCTTACGGCTGATAAAGACCACCGGATGCTCTTCTCCATCGACTTCCTGGGAGAGTACGGCGCCCAGCCCAGTGGCGGAGGCGTCTGTCTGTAGACAAAAAGGTTTATCGAAGTCTGGGCTAAGCAAAACGGGCTCGCTACACAGGACTTCTTTAAGTTGTTGAAAGGCCGAGTCACACTCTGTGTCCCACCTCACTCTCTGAGGTTTGTCCTTTGTGAGCAGAGAGGTGAGCGGCGCCGCTATGCTAGCAAATTGGGGAACAAATCGGCGGTAATACCCCGCCAGTCCCAGAAATTGTCGGACCTTCCTTTTCGTGGTCGGTATGGGGTAATTTCGGATGGCGTCTACCTTCCCCACCAGGGGCCGGACTAAGCCGCGCCCCAAATGGTAACCTAAATAGGTGGTCTCTTGTGCGCCGATTTTACACTTTTTGGGGTTGGCCGTGAGACCGGCGTCGCGGAGCGTTCGTAGTACTGCCGCCACTTGGTTTATGTGGTCCTCCCAGTCGCGCCCGTAGATGACCACGTCATCCAGGTACGCTGCGGCATATTCCAGATGAGGGGCGAGCAGGCGATCCATCATCCGCTGGAAGGTGGCGGGTGCCCCATGGAGGCCGAACGGCATGCGCACGAAGTGGAAAAGCCCGGACGGGGTGGTGAACGCTGTCTTCTCCTGGGACTCCCGATCCAGCGGGATTTGCCAATAGCCCTTAGTCAGGTCGAGGGTTGTTATGAACTTGGCTTTTCCCAGGCGTTCCAGCAGCTCATCCGTTCGTGGCATCGGATAGGCATCAAACTTCGATATCGCGTTTACCTTTCGAAAGTCAATGCAAAACCTAATGCTTCCGTCCGGCTTAGGGACCAACACGATCGGGCTCCTCCACTCACTTCTGGATCGCTCGATCACTCCCAGCTCCAGCATGGTGCGGACCTCTTGTTCCACGACGTCGCGCATCCGTCGGGGAAGAGGTCGGTTTCCCTCCCGCACGACCTGACCGGGCGGGGTTCGGATGGTGTGCGTTATCGCCGCGGTTTGGCCCGGCCGCGAGGTAAAGGTCCTGGCGAAGGTTTCGACAAGCACCTGGGCTACGCGCCGTTGGTTCGGCGACAGGGTGTCCGCGAGCTGGGGTGTCTCCTCCTCCTGGGCGTCAGGGACCCTAGGGCCTAACCCGGGCTCCGACGGGTAGGGCGCGACCACCATGCCTTCTCGCTCTCGCCAAGGTTTGAGGAGGTTCACATGGTATATTTGTTTTTTCCTTCGCCGGTCCGGCTGATGAACCTCATAGGTGACTGGGCCCACTCGTCGGGAGACCTCATACGGCCCCTGCCAGCGGGCCAGCAATTTTGACTCCTCTGAGGGGAGTAACAGCAACACCCGATCCCCGGGTTCAAACACTCTCTCCT